GTTCCAGTCGTTTTTGGATAATCTTCAGTAGAATCTTGCTTGCATGTGAAATCAATGATACTGTTCTATAGTTTCCACACTCTGCTGTATCACCCTTCTTTGGGATGGGAACAAATATAGATCTCTTCCAGTCAGTTGGCCAAGTGGTTGTTCTCCAAATTTCTTGGCACAACTTGGTGAGCACATCCACGGCTGCATCTGTTAGCTGAAATATGTCAATTGGTATACCATCTATTCCCCATTAATTCTCCATCCTGTAGGACTGCAATGAGTCAGACTTGACTCAAAGGAATAGGCTGATGATTATTTTTTTTTTATCATGGTCTTTGCAATCAGGACAGAGCGGGGTTTAGGGCTTTTGTACATAGGGTCGCTATGAGTTGCAGGCAACTCGAGGGCACATAAAAACAACAACCTTAAAAAAAAAAACCAACCTTACAATCAGTTATTATGCATCACAGAGCTGGACAATGACGAGGGAGGATAGAAGGAGAATTGATACCTTTGAGCTGTGGTGTTGGAGTATTGAATACACCATGGACTGCTAGGAGAATGAACAGGTTCATTCTGGAGAGGGAGAAACCAGGCTGCTCCTTGGAGGCAAGGATTCTGAAGCTTTGTCTGACATACTTTGGACATGTTGCAGGGAGGGACCAGTCCTTAGAGAGTGATGTCATGCTTGGAAGGGTGAAGGGACAGGGCAGGAGAGAAAGACCCCTGATGAGATGCATTGATTTAGTGATTAGGGTAATGGGGGCTAGGTATGTCAGAGACAGTAAGGTTAGCACAAGACAGAGCAGGGTTAAGGCTGTTGTACATAGAGTCCTTATGAGTCACAGGTGACTCAATGGCACATACTAACAATAAACAACAAACAAATTCCTTCTAACAAAACATGTGTAAAAATCCTAAAGGGGAAGTTATGAAACTTAGCTTTCAATTCTCAAAGAACTACAAGATGTTCACAGATGGAAAATCTCAATATTTTACAGAAGAGAGACTAAAAGCAATCCAATGAAAAAGGATTTGCTTGTTTTGTGGAATTTATGAGATTATTTTAAAATGTATGTGGAATGCAAAAGTTCAAGAACAGCTAAGATGCTCCAGGAGAACAATTAAGTGAAGAACTTCTATTAGATAGCAAGTCTTCTTTTTTTAATTGTGATTTTTTTTCCTTTTATTAAAAAAATTATTTATTATAAGGATTTTT